TACCAGGCTTTGCCAGAAGACGTAAATTTCAAACTGGAACCAATTGAAATCCATTGGCTTTGGCTTGGCTTGGCTTTGGTTGTTAGCTTTTTTTTGTAAAAGTTGCTTAAACCCCTTGCAGAGTAATTTTTAACACACTGACGACAACTTGACCTAAACCGTGAACTTGGTCCACGTGGACCCAATAACTTTGCCCCAGCACCTAGACTAAAAATTTTAGACCAGTCCAGGTCAAAGCCAGGCCATGTCAAAGCCAGGCCAGGTCAAAGCCAAGCCAGGTCAAAGCCAGGCCAGGTCAAAGCCAGGCCAGGTCAAAGTCCGGCCAGGTCAAAGCCAGGCCAGGTCAAAGCCCGGCCAGGTCAAAGCCAGGCCAGGTCAAAGCCCGGCCAGGTCAAAGCCAGGCCAGGTCAAAGCCAGGCCAGGTCAAAGCCAGGCCAGGTCAAAGCCCGGCCAGGTCAAAGCCAGGCCAGGTCAAAGTCCGGCCAGGTCAAAGCCAGGCCAGGTCAAAGCCAAGCCAGGTCAAAGCCAAGCCAGGTCAAAGCCAAGCCAGGTCAAAGCCAGGCCAGGTCAAAGCCAGGCCAGGTCAAAGCCAGGCCAGGCCAGGCCATTTATATTTAACTTCTCGAATAACAGCTCACAAAAACGAAGCTACGAGGAAAATTCTAAAGGATTTGCAAATTGATTCGATTCTGGTAATTGATTGATTCGATTCTGGCAAATTGATTCTAGAGAGTGCACCATCAATGAAAACCTATCAATGAAAAGCTATCAATGAAAACTTATCAATGGAAACTTATCAATGGAAACCTATCATTGAAAACCTATGGCAACCTTGAATGAAAATCCGGCTCATCTTGAATGGGTTTGTAATGCTTAGAACAAACTCTCGAAGAGCTTCATCATACTCTCGTTCAAGAATTGTGCGATTACCACGGCTACTGATGGCTCGGAAGATGATCTGCTTCAAGAAAGAAGGAGTGATTCCTGTAGGCCCAAGACTTCTCACCGATGATCGACTTGAAAAGGAAAGGGAACTTTAACCAGTAATAGCAAAGTGTAAATAAACTTTATTAAGTAGATTTTTTCCTTAAAAATTCGTATCCGGTCTTGTTTGGAGGTACGGACGAACGTTGGGCAAATCTTCAAAGCGCTCAACCAAATCTGAACGTTCAGCTCATTTCATTGGTTCAGCTCATTTCATTCGTTCAGCTCATTTAGTTTTCGATTTCGTTTCGATAGAATACTTGAGTAAACAAACTTTTCAAAGCGGGCCACGACGCTAAAAAGAACGAATCATAGCAACATTGAAAACGCGTCAACAGCTCGACCACACAAATGTCGGCCCAAGTATACTAAAATACAATATTTCAACTACAGTACTGGACAATGAAATATGATATTTGAAAAACGATCGTCACTTTTGTAACGATCGTCACGAGCGTCTGTAACTCCCTTGTCTTTGAGTTTAAACTATTAGTGTTATACATTTTCTGAAAGCCCTTTTCAAGGGCTACACAATGGTAATATTAATATTTAGAAATACGGTAAAGACAAGAGAGTTATAGACGCGTACTCGAACTGCGGGAATCGGGGTTTTACTGGGCCGTTTCGATTCGATTCGATTCGAAAAAGAAACAGACTGAAAACCAGGTCTAATGATCGCTGAATCAGGAATTCTTTAGAATCCATCTAGATTCCCAAATTTAGAGCCTGTGTCGTGTGTCGGCGTGGTTTTTACGGTGATGCCTCACATTTCAAAGTCAACTACACGCTGATGGGTTTGTTAGAACGCTATTTGGTGTACTTTGTGCTTGTAAACCTTTCTAGTGTACTCAATATTTGATTGAAATTTGTCTAGATGCCGGCTGGAGTCACTAAAGCATTTTTACACAACTTTAAGTTGCTGTAGATGTAGATTCAAAGATTGCTGTAGATTCAAATATGATATTGGGTTGGGGAGAATGAGTCGGCGCCAAACTTTAAAGGGACTTTTTGCACACATAAAGCCTTCTTTAAACATACGTTTGGTTTCATCAAAAGGATCCACTATTTCTCTACAAAATCACTTTTGAGAGATTCCACAAAGCTTTTCTTTCGTGGAGTTTATGAACTTCGAAACGCAGCTGGTTAAAATGGCAAAGAGTCCGACTCATCATTTGAACAGTTTCTTTCACATAAACCTTCTTTGGTGTTTATATAAAAAAAGATAGAGCACATTCAATTACTTAAGTTGCCAAATTTGCAGGAAGATCCCACCAATGGTTTTTTTCTAGATCACAGTTTGTAGTTTTTGTGAAAAAATGGCTTTTTCTTGAGCGGAGGCGCTGTTTGAATTTTCTTTTAAATGTCATTTTGTAGAGAATTAGTTAACCATTCTACTGATATCAAACGCATATTATTTGACGAAGTCGAATAGAAGTTTTAGACATTTTTTTGATTTTCGGCGCCGACTCATTCTCCCCAACCCAATAGATTCAAAGATTGCTGTAGATTCAAATATGATATTTCATTGTCCAGTAGTCCAGTCCAGTAGTCCAGTCCAGTACTGTAGATCCATTATCTCGATTCCCTTTCTCTTTCTACCGTTATCTTGTCTCAAGCTCCAAGATAACCAGATCCAAGATCTGCTTTTTATCCAATCTATCCGCTTTTTCTATCTTTCAATTTCATTTGTGAACACTCAAAGAATCAGTAGATGATTTAGAGAAAAAGTAGATGAATTAGAGAAAAACTGGAAACAAAATTACGGCAGTTAACAAGAATTGTTAACAAGAACAAGCTTTAGAAAAGCCTTTTCTTTCTTTTTACTTTTTCTCACCTTATTCCCAACCATTGTCGTCTTCTTCCTCAATTCGTTTTCCCATTTTTCAAATATCGGATTCATTGTCCTTTCTTTATACTCGTTCCAGATTTCTCTCTGTAAATTAGATAAAACTTTAATCTAAGACAAAACTTAGACAAATCTTTAATCTAAGTCAAATCTTAGACAAATCCTTTCAAATTTCCAACCCTCAAATCATAATTCTTTGTCAAAGTTGTTCGGATAATCGGTGCTAGTTCGAGATTCAGTATTTCGGCTTGTCGAATCACTTGATTGATCTCTTCTTGTTCACTACTACTCGAGCCATAGAGATCTGGAAAAAGAAGAGAATTGTTAGATGTGTTCTGTACGTTGCACATCGAGTATAAATTTGTTTTGATGAAAATCAAAAATTCAAATCCTAACAATTCTAGAGTGTAATCCAGATAGAAGAAAAAAGGCAATTTTAATAAAATTGCTCTTGTCAATTTTTCTGAATCATCGCGAACTCTCGGCAGTCCAACGACGGCTATGTTTTGGTGAAAATCAAAAATCCTAATCCTAAAAACTCTAGTGTGATATCCAGATAGTAGGAAAAACGCAATTTAAAGAAAATTGCTCTTGTCAATTTTTCTGAATCATCGCGAACTCTCGGCAGTCCAACGACGGCTATGTTTTGGTGAAAATCAAAAATCCTAATCCTAAAAACTCTAGTGTGATATCCAGATAGTAGGAAAAACGCAATTTAAAGAAAATTGCTCTTGTCAATTTTTCGGAATCATCGCGAACTCTCTGCAGACAAAAGCTGTCGTTGGACAGCTTTTGTTTTTGAAGGTTTTTGAAGCGAAATTGAAAGGCGATTGGGTAATTACCAAAAGATTTGTCAGTTCGCTTTTTAAACAACTTTCTCAGCTTTTTAAACACCTCTTGGCCCGGGTTTACGTAACGAAAATCATAAATAAGCAGGGTTTTGTTTATTTTGTGTGAGATTTTTCTCGTAAACGATGATCGGAGGTTGAAAAACATCATTCTGATAAATTTGTTGCGAAAATTTCCTAATCGCCTTTCAATTTCGCTTCAAAAACCCGAAAACTAGGTCGTGCGCCGGGTTAAATGCGACTCTCAACTTTGAGAGCTTGTTTATGAGCTTTATGAGATAGTTTATGAGCTCCTATCGGTTAGATAATGAGCACAGCTACAGGAGACCCACTCAACATTTACCTGTAAAATTTTTGTGAAAATCGGTTATCTTTTGACTGAGCTAAGGAAATATTGAGGAAATAAAGACGAAATATTGAGCAATCCTTTTCAAAACAAAAGCTTGACCAACAAATTTAACAAAAAGAGAAACAATGCTGTGAAATGGCGGACAATTGGGGGCACGGTAGGAGGTCCGCACTTTAGAAAACACTTAAGTTAACAAAGTAATAATCCGTGGGGAATGAATGAAAAGGAACCAAATCTGGAGAGAAAAGGAACCAAATCTGGAGAGAAAAGAAATCAAAACTGTAGAGAAAAGGAACCAAAGCTGTAGAGAAAAGAAATCAAAACTGTAGAGAAAAGGAACCAAAACTGTAGAGAAAAGGAACCAAAACTGTAGAGAAAAGAAATCAAAGCTGTAGAGAAAAGGAACCAAAGCTGTAGAGATCTGAGCTACCCGCTCTAGAGTGAGTATGAGTAATTCTGACGCACTCTGTACAATTCGTAAGAAGTCGTGTTTAATCCTAGCATTTTGTGTTCCCTCCGCTTACGCTTTGTCTCACACCAAATCCCTTCAAACTGGATCCAGTGTGCTGGAGAGCGTTTATTTACAAGAGCACAAAGTATGGATCGGTTTTTAAATCAATTTCCCATGAAAGAGCAACTAATGAAAGAGCGTAGAGAAAAGGAACCAAAGCTGTAGAGATCTTTTGACTGAGCTACACGTTCTAGAGTGAGTATGAGTAATTCTGACGCACCATGTACAAATGAAAACATTTACAAAACTCACGAAAATTGAGTGCAATGTAACGCCCGATTTCCACCGCGCCGACAATCGTTTTTCGTCCATTGTCCACAATGAGCACTGGCAATTTCGTTTTTTCATCGAGACTGGCTGAAATTTTGATTTTATTTTACAGATTTCTATCTTTTAGGTGCTACGGGAAAGAACTGCATTTTCCGGCTGATTGACTTTGATATAACAAGTATATTTATATTTATTCGACACAAATAATGAATTACAACATAAAGGAGAAAATTTTTACTCCTAATTATTATCATTTATTACTATCACTAATTATTATCATATCATCATATTACCCAAGTGTTGTTAAGAAATAAACCAATAATAATGGGGAAAAGAACCAATCTTTCTAGCCGGGATCGAACCTTTAACCCCCGACTAGGAGTCTTGTCATCAAATGATTCTATCCAGCAATCAACTGATTCTATCCAGCAATCAACTGATTCTATCCAGCAATCAACTGATGCTATCCAGCAATCAACTGATTCCATCCAGCAATCAAATGATTATATCCAGCAATCAACTGATTCTATCCAGCAATCAAATGATTCTATCCAGCGATCAACTGATTCTATCCAGCGATCAACTGATTCTATCCAGCGATCAACTGATTATATCCAGCAATCAACTGATTCTATCCAGCGATCAACTGATTCTATCCAACGATCAACTGATTCTATCCAGCATGGTTCCGATATGGTTCCAATATGGTTCCAATATGGTTCTATAAATGGCTCCAATAAGTTCCAAGATGGTTCCAAGATGGTTCCAATATGGTTCCAATATGGTTCCAACATGTGCCAGTCTCTAGTAATGACACTCAGGGCACTCAATGATTCAAGCATCGAAGTCCTACCTCGTCCAGCCTATTCACGAACCGTATCGCCAACTGATTATCACTTGTTTAAGCACCTTTAAGCACCTGTTTAAGACCTATTTTCTCAAGACCTATTTTTCCTTTAAGCACCTATTTTCTCAGAGACTAAATTTTCAAAGATGCGGTAGAGTTGCAAAATGTCATTAACGCTTTTATCAACTCTAGAATGACTAGAGCAATATGGCAGCTTTGATTTTGAATTTCTGGTCATCAATCTTTGTCCATCTGGTCATCAATCTTTGTCCATCGAGCTGAAACAACTACTTTTGACTTCTGCATACATAGAATCAAATAAAACTTGTCGTTTACTGGCAAAAGTGCATTGATTGGATTGTAATTGAATGTCATTTAGTTTTAAATGAGAATTTTTTGATGATTGAATTTGAGTTCGAAAAACGTATTTCTTTTCCGTAATAGTTGGCTTTAATTTTACGATGTGTGTGTGTGTTTTTTTCTGATTTATCTCTATTTGTTCTCAAATCTCGAGACTTTGATTGATCAGTCGTGAAATCTTGAGATCAAAAAACTCTCTAAAGTTCAGGAAAAAAAACACAAACAGTTTTCAAGGTTTAATGGAATAGAAAATGCTTAGCCTAGAAGATGCTTAGCCTAGAAGATGCTTAGCCTAGAAGATGCTTAGCCTAGAAGATGCTTAGCCTAGAAGATGCTTAGCCTAGAAGATGCTTAGCCTAGAAGATGCTTAGCCTAGAAGATGCTTAGCCTAGAAGATGCTTAGCCTAGAAGATGCTCAGCCTAGAAGATGCTCAGCCTAGATTTGAGTCGTTTCCTAAACCTTTCTTTTTCTACCGTAATTTCTCTAAATTTGTCTCTAAATTTTCATCCAATCCATCCACTTTTTTTTCTGATTCTGTGTGGGTTCAAAAAGAATATTGCAAGATTGAAAAAGTAGGTAGATTTGATGAAAATTAGAGACAAGACAGACAAGACAGATTAGAAAGAGAAGATTATGTGATTGGAAGTAGTTGATCACCCGAATTTAGCGCAATTTAGCGAATTTAATTGCCTTCTAGCGCATTCTTAAACTGGCAATTCGCAAGGGAATGTTGCATCAATCTGAAGAGGTGAAAATCAGATGATGATAGATCTGAACTATATGGCGCTTGCGGTAAGACCTTCCATCCTAGTTCCTCTAGCTTCATGCAAGAAGATTTCGCTGCGTGAGCTGGCGCATTGTCAGGGAGAAAATTGAGGGATTTAAACCCTTTTTCACGCAAAATTTGGTCAACCTTCTTGATCTGTTGAATAAAATAGGGTGAATCAACTTTTTCTGGTCTCTAATAATTCGAAATAAATAAGTCCGTTGACATTCTACCAGCAAGACAAATCACTTTGCAACATCACATTGCAAGAAAAAACAAGACAACATCACTTTGCGCTCATAATAATCCGGCTTTGGAGTTGAAATTGACATTTGACCCTTGCTGAGCTTGACATTTGACCCTTGCTGAGTCTTTTTCGAGAAGTGTTATCGAAGGGAATCCACTTCTCATCCATCGTCAAGATATTCTCAAAAAATGGCTTCTTTTTGACTTGAGAAGCAAGAGATGGCTGATCGCTGAGCAAGCTGATCAGCTATCAGATATCAGATAAGCTGATCAGCTATCAGATATCAGATAACGTAATCCAGATAATCTAGACTGAAGACCTTAATTTAGACTGTATACCCTATTCTAGACTGAATACCGTAATCCAGAGAATCTAGAATGAATACCCTAATCTAGATATCAGATATCAGATAAGCTAATCAGAAAAGTGTACTCCCCGATTCTTCGTGCTCAATCGATTTGAAACCCATCGTCCATTACAATTAGTCTTTCCGATTATTTCTAAATGGCGGACAATTGTTGATTGATCACATTGGAGATGTTTGGCAAGCTCTCGTGTTGTTTGCATTGACTTCAATAATTGGCTTCATTAATTGGCTTCAATAATTGGCTTCATTAATTGGCTTCAATAATTGGCTTCAATAAGTTGTTCCAATTCATTATTATCGATCATTGCCGAGCGGCCATGTGGTTCGTCTTCAAGAGATCCAATACCTTCTCGGTATTGAGCAAACTAGAGCTGGCAGGATCTTTCGGTCATAACTTGTTCTCCAAAAGCATAACAGAGATCACGATGTGATTCAGCAGCATTTTTGCTCATCTTGAAATCGTAGAGAAGACACGCGCGCACAGCATACCTTTGACCGACCATGCTTTTGATCGACCGGCCATGCTTTTGACCGACCGACCATGCTTTTGACGCGCACAACATGCTCCACCATGATCTAAAGCAAATATCAATTAAAAAGTGAAAGATTTGAGGCAGAAAAAGCGTAAAAATCAAGTAAATATCGAAGAGTATAAATAAAAAAAAGAAAATCAAATAAGATTTCGAGATTTAAAAAGAAAAGAAAAAAATAGAACAAAATAGAACAAAAATATTAGGTTGTCCAATAAGTAATGCGTGTTTTGACACGATTTTCAAAATATCACAAAATTAACAAAAGAGAACTTTATTAATCGATATATTCTCCACAACAATCAACAACATTTCTCCATCGTCCGAGCAAAGAGTGAAGTCCGTCATAATAGAATGAAGCTGGTTTCGATGAGTAACATCGAAATAAGTAACACGCATTACTTATTGGACAACCTAATAGAACATCACAAATGAAATTTCATTTGCTTAGTAGATCGACGTTGAAAAGAAGTTATTAATGCTTGTGAAAATACATTTTCATTTTCATTTTCATTTTCAAAAGTCTTTAAATAAATCTTTCTGTTATATTAGGTTGATGCAAAAGTCTTTTTCATTTTTTTCGTACTTTCGTTAAAAAGTAACAAATGCACGAATTGAACAACGGTTTATTGCATTCGAAAGGCCAATTATTTTTCTGCAAAATGACATTAAAACGAGTTTAAAATGTCTTATGTCTAGATTTTTTGAGAGCCTGAAGTCGGGTAGTCAAAAAAGGCGACGGCTCGATGATGCATTTTAGACGCTTTAGCTAAGGAAACCAATCTTGATGTTAATAAATAAAAGATAGAGCACAAAAAGTTAGATATTTTTTCAGATTTTCAGAGAAATTGATTCAGCCAATTTCTTTATAGAGGTTTTTATAGATTTTTATGAAAAACCCGTTTTCACTCTCGAATTTGCTTGAAAGTGAACCCAAATTGACTTAAAAGATGGGAAATTCAACAATAAACACTTTTCATTTAGAGCAAACCATAGGTTAATTGATGACTTTGTTATTTTTCAAAAGAAGTACGAAAAAAATGAAAAAGACTTTTGCATCAACCTATTATTAATGATCAAAAAAAATAACCTTTCATATTAGACAAGCTAACTCGCTTGTTTCCGAACCATTTCCTAAGAGGTGCGCTTAGAAAAATGTGCTCCGGCTTACTAGCAATCAAAGCAATCAAAGCAATCAAAGCAATCAAAGCAATCAAAGCAATCAAAGCAATCAAAGCGTAGCAATCAAAGCGTAGCAATCAAAGCTTAGCAATCAAAGCGTAGCAATCAAAGCTTAGCAATCAAAGCGTAGCAATCAAAGCGTAGCAATCAAAGCGTAGCAATCAAAGCGTAGCAATCAAAGCGTAGCAATCAAAGCGTAGCAATCAAAGCGTAGCAATCAAAGCGTAGCAATCAAAGAGCGCTTTTTAAAATACAATAATCACTAATCAAATACAATAATCACTAATCAAATACAATAATCAATACCAATTAACTCTAATCCAACCTTTTTTCCTGCTCAATTTCCATTCTTGTATCGTCATTCGAGTGTCCGTGAATTGTTTCGACGCAAAAATCAGCATCAAACGAAGAGATTCGGCTCGTCCTCGGCCCGGCAACGAAATCAGCTCCAAATCAAGGGAACTCATTTGGGTAATACGTTAAAAAATCAAAAATAAGAGTCTACCTCTGTGAAGCTTTTCGATTTCCAAGATTTCTCCAATATTTGCTCTTTCTTTTTCTCTTTCTTCTCTTTCTTCTCTTTCCTTTCTTTCTTCACTTTCCTCTCTTTCTTCTCTTTCTTCACTTTCCTCTCTTTCTTCTCTTTCTTCTCTTTCTTCTCTTTCTTCTCTTTCTTCTCTTTCTTCTCTTTCTTCTCTTTCTTCACTTTTTTCCATGCGAACTTCTCTCTTCCGATTTTCCTCTCATCTTTTCTCTAATCTTTTCTCTCATCTCTTTTTCTGTCATTTTTTCTCTCGAGTGTTTCCCGCATAGCTTTTCTTCGTATTTTTTCAAGGTGGTTCGTGTTTTGCCACTCGAAAAACGACGATTCGAACACGCCAATGAGAGTTCGGGAAAATGAAAACAAAGTGCTTGCACGGGTCGCAAACAGCTCAAAGTTTTGACCTCAAAAAATCCAAATTCATCCCAAGCGACAACCCAAATTCATTCTCGACTCCAAAACGAAAACCGACCGTAAATACTGTAATAGTACCCCACCACCGCCCTCGTACAGTCGCGTAATCGCAAAAGTTTTTTAGTATTTCATTTTTTTCAAAGCGCCCGTACTTTCAAAAAGTGCGTCTTTGGTATCAAAAAAATAGCCCTGAATTTCAGCTATTTTTTGATACCTAAACGCGCATTGTAGCTTAAACCAGTGTCGAGAAAAACTCGTTTAAAGCTCGACTACGCAACACTCCGCATCGTCATTATGAGGGTGGGGTACTATTACAGTATTTACGGTCGGTTTTCGTTTTGGAGTCGAGAATGAATTTGGGTTGTCGCTTGGGATGAATTTGGATTGTTTGAGGTCAAAACTTTGAGTTGTTTGTGACCCGTGCAAGCACTTTGTTTTCATTTTGAGCACTAGCGCGGTGTTGACACAATGGCACACTTACAAGTCAGAATTTCATGGAGAATCCAATGGTGCCATTTGTGGGACGATTTAAAGTCTGCAAGTGGATCAAACGGGCAACTCCGCAGATTTGGCTATTTCCTTGAAAAAAGTGCCCGTTTGAGTTGCCCGTTTGACCCACATGCAGACTTTAAATCGTCCGTACTGGTGCCCGTACTTTCAATGGTGCCCGTACTTTCAAAAAATGCGTCTTTGGTATCAAAAAATAGCTGAAATTCAGGGCTATTTTTTGATACCTAAACGCGCATTCTAGCTTAAACCAGTGTCGAGAAAAACTCGTTTAAAGCTAGACTACGCAACACTCCGCATCGTCATTATGGGGGTGGGGTACTATTACAGTATTTACGGTATCTATCCTGAGTGTGTACCCGATGCGATTACGTGGCCGCACAAAGAGCACATAAAGATTGACACAAAGCTTTCGCTCAAAATACACCCCCAAAAAAATTCTTTCACAAAGTTACCGTACTTACGTACAAATGAGCCGTACTTACGTACAAATGAGCCGTACTTACGTACAAATGAGCCGTACTTACGTACAAATGAGCCGAAAACCAAGTTCTATTCTTAGAGCCGAAAAACAAGTTTTATTCTTTAAAAAAATTCTAAATCTAGTCATTCTTATCGCAAATTTCTTGCTAATCCATCAGATTTTTCGGCAAAATCACCGCTTTTTCCTTTTTTTTTTCTTTTCACAACCGGATATTCAGCCAAAGAGACGAAAATTCTGTTGTCTTTCAGAAAAATGGCCATAAATTCACCCCAAAATTTCATTATCAGCCGTAAAATTGTTCGCTTTTCCCATCTGAATCTTTTGATTTCTTCGAAATCCATCTATTTTTGAAAATGCTTAAAATTCTATTCTTTACCCTGTTTACTGTAGCTTTTTCATTACCGATTGAGAATGAAATTCGACAAAATCCCCGACAAAATTCGAGCGAACTATTGCCGAGTCTTTTTCACGGTCCTGGGAGATGGGTGAGTTGGGAAAATATAAATGAAATAGATGAAGATAAATAAAATAGATAAAGAGTAGGCATTCTAGCCAGCAGTTGAGATCCAGAAGTACAATAGTACAATAGATCCAGATATGGTTCAACTCTTGGATCTAAAAGCTAGACGAGGCTTGGATCTAGAGCTAGACGAGGCCAGATTGAAAAAACATGAACGGACGGACAGACAAAGCTTTTTATATATACCGTATTCTTTCTAATAGTAGTGCGCCCCGTCGAGCCGAGTTGATGACTATTTTACGGTTTCCAAAGTTCTCCCAGAAGCTCAACACTCTAATCCCCCACTAGATCTCATTGTCAGCTACATTTTCCGACCCCACATCGATAAGTTCTGATAAGCGGTTCTCGACTTTTCGAGGAATTTAGGCGACGCTCAGGGTGCACTACTATTAGAAAGAATACGGTAAACAGATTACCTACGAGAGAGAGCCATTAGATCTAGATCTAGCCGTTAGACTCCTCTATTTGTTTCTTTGAAAATGGAAATTGACTGAATTTCTCGTATGTAATTTGAGAGAAAGTTCGGTACTTTTCGGTAATCCCCCCGCCACCTCCGCATTTCGGTCATACCTCCACCACTACAAAATAAAAAAAAAAAACAGTACTGCATAGTACTGTTTTTTTTTAATTTAGCGTTAGGTTAGCGTCCCCCATACATCAATGCGTGTATTTGTGGATTTAGCCTAGCTTTATATACAGTGCGGTGCAAAAACATACGTCACCCCCTAAATTTCAATTTTCTGCGGCTCCCGTGCCAGTGACCAAAAAACCGAAAACGTAGTTAGATTCAGGACCAAAAATAACCCTGAAACCCCAAAAATCGTCGACATAGCATGAATAGGGAGAATGTAACAGCCAAAAAACGAAAATTCACCCGGTGCAAAGCCACACGCCACCCCCCAAATTTTGGTGTCATTTTGGTGCCTCTGACAAGCATAAGTCCCGCCCTTTCACTTCAGATTCCTTATAAGGAGTCCTAAAAAGCTTACTTTGTCTTACTTCAACAATGCCGAAAGCAAAAAAATGCCAATGCCGAAAGCAACTCAACTCTCTGACAGGGAGCAAGCTCAACTCGACCTCATTAGCAACTTGGATTGTCAATTTCCGAGATGAGTTCTATCGTTGGAAATTTATGAAAATGTTGAAATCCGCATTTCTTATGCATGTACCTAATAACATTAAAACACTAAAACATAAAAAATTGTTTAAAAAAAGAGCATCGACTTGTGCCAACACGTTAAAAAAAGTGGAGAAAACCAACAACAAAACCAACAACAAAACCAACAACAAAACCAACAACAAAACCAACAACAATAATTAAACTACAGTTTAATTATTGTTGTTGGAACCGTATTGGAACCGTATTGGATCTAAAAAGAAACGTATTGCAACCGTATTGGAATCGTGTATTGAAACCGATCACTATTTTACGGCTTCCAAAGTTCTCCCAGAAGCTCAACACTCTAATCCTCCACAAGATCTCATCGTCAGCTACATTTTCCGACCCCACATCGATAGGTTCTGATAAGCGCTTTTCGAGATTTCGAGGAATTTAGGCAAGGCTCAGGGTGCACTTAGATTAGAGATTACGATTAGAGAGAATACGGTAAACCAAATGAAATATTCAAAAATAGAGCAGTTTTCTCTAAAAATCAATAACGAATTCGAATTCCTTGACCCCGAAAACCCTCAGGTGCAAATTTTCAGCCCAATTGGCCTTAAAAAAATGCTAAATCCACATACAGCCACCCATTCTGGCGCCCGAATCCGATTCTGGCGCATTCTGGCGCACGAATCCGATTCTGACGCATTCTGGCGCCCGAATCCCTGATTTTCTTCAGAAAGCGAAGGAAAATGAAGAATTTAGTGCAATTGTGTTTACGGTTTAGCCGAAAAGACAAAAGTTTTGTTCACTGTACCAGATAGATTATAAGGTTTAATAGTTCGAGCCTGATACCGTATTCTCTCTAATAGTAGTGCACCCCGGCGAGCGTCGAGTTGCGTCGAGTTGCGGACGATTCTACGGTTTCGAAGCTTTCACAGAAGCTCAACACTCTAATCCTCCACTAGATCTCATCGTCAGCTACATTTTCCGACCCCACATCGATAGGTTCTGATAAGCGATTTTCGAGATTTCGAGGAATTTAGGCAAGGCTCAGGGTGCACTACTGTTAGAGAGAATAGGGTTTTAAAAAAGGCGCTAAAAAGATATCGTAATCGCGTTTAAATCATCAATTACAGGATGTTCTCTGTGATTGTTGTACAACGACGCTTTCTTTCATGAAAAAGCGTCTCTCCGAGGATCCAAGTCAGTTGAAAAAAGATTCCGAAGCGTTTTGTCGAAATGAGTATGTCGGATGGTTTGTTCTCGTTTGCACTGGACTCGTCGATAATTACTTTTCTTTGGTGAGTCTTCGGGAGCTAATAGTATCTAAGGCTAGGATATAGTATCTAATAGTATCTCAAATTTCAATGCAAGATTATCTTAAAATTGGTCAATCAAGAATTGCTAGGATATTGTAGGCCATTCTTTTAGCTGTCACAATTACCGCCTCAAGGTTTCTGACCTAATAAATCACTAAATACAATTTTTTAGAAATAGAAATAGAAATAGAAATGTTTATCAATGTGTAACAATTAGAATTAATAGTTAAATTATCACCATCGGCGTGAATGCAAGCTTGTAGACGTTTCGGGAAGTCGTCCATCACCTAAGGGAAAGAAAGGAAGATCAATAAGGAAGAGAAATAAGGAAGATCAATAAGAAAGATCAATAAGGAAGATCAATTGTTTCCCAGACTTTCTCAAGCACTTTCTTCAATGAGTTGACGTTTCTATGGAGTTTTGAACAAGCACAGGCCTCAAGAACGCTTCAGATAGAATAGTCCATTGGCAAGAAATTGACAAGACAAATTGACAAGAGCTATTTTATTTTAATTCCTTTTTTTCTTCTATCTGGATATCACACTAGCCTTTTTAGGATTTAGATTTTTGATTTTCATTAAAACCTTTTTCCCTTACGTCTGGAAAAAAAGTGGTCATTGGTTTGAGTCTGGGAAAATTTTCTCGTTGATTTTTCAAAAGGCTCATCGTGGTGTCAGAATTAGTTTTGCCTCAGGCGTCACACAAGAAGATGAAGTTGATTTTTTTGATCCATCCGATCGTTCCAATGTCTGTACCTCGAGTTATAAACCGTCAAAGTTGATCGACTTCTGCAGGTAAGCAGGTCAACTTTGACGCAGTTTTTCTCTATTTTCTCAAATGTGAGCATACAAAACAAACTCTACTTTTCTATAGCCAAATTTGATGAAGATTCTTTTAAAACCAACGACAAGTCGATTCAATAGCTGGAAGTCGAGATATAGAGCAAAATAGGCGCCACACAACTACTCTATAGTTGACTTTTAACGATCGGATCGGAGCTTC